ACACCGACCCGCCCACCCCCCAAAACCCCAAACAACACCCTAAGGCCTTCTACACCTTCTGGCTCCCCGTGGCCTGCGGCCTGCTGATGGCCGGCGAGACGCGGCCCGAGGCGCTGGACCTGGCCCAGGGGATCTGCGTTCAGATAGGGCAGTACTTCCAGATCCAGGACGACTTCTTGGACTGCTACGGGGACCCCGAGGTCATCGGAAAGGTGGGGCCTCGTGGGGCTGCGCTTGCTGCAAGATGTCGGTGCGGGGGAGGGCCTTGGTCCTGACTGCCCGGACATGCTGGGGGGAGGGGCCTGGACGTCTGGGGTGGCACGAACGCACATGCACACCCTTAAACAAGCAGGCGCACTCTTACACACATGCGCAAGCGCGTGCAAATGCACGCTCGCGCACGCACACACACACACACACACACACACACACACACACACACACACACTCATCATACATACAGTTATCATCACGTGCCCTCTGCACACACGCCGTGCACACTACACCTTGACCTGCGCAGGTTGGCACCGACATTGAGGACTCCAAGTGTTGCTGGATCGTGTGCACCGCCCTGGAGGTGGCCAGCGACAGCCAGAAGGAGATCATCAAGGTGACTAACCTTGCATGCCCCTAGCCGCAGGGACACGTGGTATATCCAAAGCAACATGCACCTGCTGCAATCGGCCACGAGGAGGAGTTTGTCATGACTGCATGGTCAAATCGTCGCGACCCGTGCATCTCATGTGAACCCGCTAAGCCAACCTGCCCACCATCCCACGCTTTCACGCGCTCAATATCCCTTTCCCCGGCCCCTCACTACCATCCCCCTCCCCAGTCAAACTACGGCCAGAAGGACCCGGCTGCTGTGGCGCGCGTCAAGGCGGTGTACGAGGAGCTGGGCATGAAGGGGCGGTTCGGGGCCTACGAGGCCGAGAGCTACGAGCGCCTGAGCGCGCTCATCTCGGAGCAGAAGCTGCTGCCTGAGGGCGTCTTCACCAACCTGCTGCAGAAGATCTACAAGCGCAGCAAGTGAGGGGGGGCTGCTCCGGAGCTGAACAGCCGCGCCCCAGGCCACGGCTTGAGGCACGCCTTTCCTCTGAAGAGTTGTGCGCACGGCCTTGTGGCACCTGCCCCGCTGGCCCCCTCACCTTGGGGCGCGCCGCCCCAACAGCGCTGCATCCGTGCACCTGTCGTGCCATCCAGCACCGCTGGAGGCACCACGTCTTGCGCCGCGCCTTGCCAGCATCCAATCCAGTGCCCAAGGAGCCGCTTGGGCGACTGTTGACTGATGAGCAAGCATTTTTCGCCCTGCGGCGCTGATGTCGTTTTGGTGGTTTGAATCGTGACACGTGCTGCCAACAGCGGCGTCCTGCTACAGCCCCAGCCCTTTGCCGTCTGGGGGACTGAGTTTAATGTTTGCGGCTGTGCAGGTTGTTGGCCAATTCCCCGTGCTCTCTGGTGCGCGGGACAGCTTGCATGGCGCTCAGCGCGCGAGCCCTTGACATGCAGTCGGCTGAACGGGCGGCATGGGTAGACTCACGTGCCGCCGCTCGCATTTTGCTGGCACCCTCTCCAGTCGGCTGTAAAAGCAAGTTTTTAATGCGGGTGACCGCCGCACGCGGCGCTCCGTCGCAGCAATGCCTGAAGGGCCGCAGGTCACTTACAAAGCGGCGGCGTCTTTGCCATATTCTAATTTTGCCAAGCAAGCCAGCACGCGCTTTTTCGCCCTGCGGTATGCTACCGCCTCCGCCACCGCCCCTCCAACCCGCCCCAATGCCAGCAGCGCGGCGTCCTCATCAGCAGTGGTGGGGAAGGCGCCCAGAAGCTGCCGCGCCCGTAGACCGATCAGCTGCGCCGGCCCCTCTGTGCAGGCATTGCCCCTGCTGCTGCCACCCGCCCCTGACTGCAGCTGTTCCCGTGATGTTGCCAAAGGCGCGGCCTCGCAGAGGGCCAAGAGCGCGGCAGACAGGCGCACGTCGCAGCGGACGTCTGCTGTGGCCACCAGCTCGTGCGGCGTTTGGCTGCATGCGTCGGTGCCCCACTCCGGCAGGTGCAGCCGCAGCGAGGCCAGACGCCGCTCAACCTTCGGGCCCGCCTGTTTGAGCGCCTGCAGCCACTGCTGCAGCCGGCCAATGCCCAAATCGCTGCTTCTGCCGCTGCTGTTGCTGCTGCTGCTGCTGCTGCCGCCGCTGCTGCCGCCCCTGCTACTGCTGCTGCTGCTGCTGCTGCTGCTGCTGCTGGCCTCCCTACCGCCGCCAGCCCAGCTGATTTGGTGCGTTCCCCGCTTCACCTGCTGCTGGCTGCCGCAGCCGGCTGCCAGGTGGAGCGGAGCTGCTAGGAAGCTGCACGTTCCTGGGACGTGTGGGCTGGAGCAGGCGATGGCTGCCAGCTGCGACGCCTGCTGGGCCGCCGTTTCTGATTGTGGAATGAGCAGGGGCACCGCGAGTTGCAAGTCAGAAACAATTAAGCAGGACGATCAAGCTTGCTCACAGCGCTGAATCAAAGGCGGGGCAAGCAGGGAAGGAGGCTGCACGGCCAGTTGTAGCGCATAAGACGGCACGGTCCCCCCGTCTGCAAGGGGGTCAAGGCCGCACCTGCCGCAGCAAGAAGCCGCCCCGCGGCGTCCTCGGCGCTGCGCTCCCGGCAGAACCAGGCCACCATCTCCCCCACGCTGCCCCAGAGCTGCGCCTCCTCCTGGGGATTGTCTGGCAGGACAAACCCGTGGTACGCGAAAAAGTCCTCGCTGCTCCTGTCGCCGTAGGTCCACAAGACCTGGAGGACGGATGCGGTGACACCGAGGGGGGGGGAGGGAGGGTTGCGGCTTGACAGGCAGAGTCATGCGTATGCATGGTGGGTGCGTTGGTGCTGCAAAAGACATGGAACTCGGCCGTGTTCAGCACCTTGGCGAAATAACAGAATAACCACACAGCCCACAAATCAAGGCGCCGTGAGTGGCAGGCTGCCCCATGCCGGCCAGCGCCCTCACCTGCTCCCCGGCCGCCACGTCGCGCGTCGTGACGAAATTCACAGTGCGCTCCCCTCCCACGCTCCAGCTGCTGCTGCCCAGCGCAAGCGTGCCGGTCGCGCCGGCCGAGCCGCCATGATTGAGGCAATCAATGCCTGTTGACATGCGATGGCGCCCAACAGGCATGATGTCACAATCGGCATTCCCAGGCAGTGTGGTGATTCAGATATGCCTGCGATGGCACGTCTGTGCTGCCACAGCCAGGGCAATGCACGATCCCCAGCAGTCGTGCGATTACCGCCTTAGTGGTCTTGTGCCCCCCCCCCAGGTGGTGCACGCCCCACCCACTGTCAAAGGTATCATGCCTGCCCTCCCCCTTCACCTGGTATCATGACGCGGCAGCCCATGATGGCCAGGCGGATGGTGCGCGACTGCACCAGGTGCAGCGCCAGGGCAAAGCGCTCCCAACTGCAGCTTGCCGCGGCCGCGGAGCCTGCGAGGGCCCCATGAAGCGAGCGTCAGCCCTCAAATGCATCCGACTCCATGATTCAAGGCGTCACGAGCATGCCCTCAACAGTACGCAGGGGCCTGCACGTCGGGCCTCACAACCCTGGTGGTGACGGCCATGACTCGACTCACCCGCCGGCCGCCAGTCGTCGTATGCGCGCCGTCCCTGCGCGCGGTACGCGCGCAGCGCCGCCACCGCGGGCGCGTATTGCACCTCTTCCACTTCCACATCCGATAGGGACAGCATGCCCGCGTCGCCGCCATCGCTGCTGCTGCTGCTGCTGGCCGCGCCGCCCTCGCTTGCCAGCGCTGCGGCATCGGGCAAGGTGGCCAAATACGGCGCCCAGGCGGAGGCCGCGCCCTTTTCCGCCTCCTGTATCAGATAGGCCGCCATCGACGCCGTCCAGGGGGCGCCTGGGTAGGCCTCAGGCACATGGTCGTCCCGCAGCGCCCGGGAGAGGGGCACCGCCAGCAGTGACGTGCCGGCGGTGGCGGGCGCGGTGGCGACCAGGCCGCGCACGAGTGCGGGGCCCATGCGGCAGGGCTGGAGGTCGAGACCGCGCACATGGCCGCCGGCGTCCTCAATCCAGCGGGCAAGCGGGGCAAAGCTGGGGTCGGACGCGGGCATCGCCGCTGCGCTGCAGCGAGGCCGGCGGCGTGACAATGGGGAGGCCGCGCAACTGGGGGCCCGCCGCCTGTGGGCAGCCGGGTCCTGCCGCGCTGCCGCGGGGACGCGTGCACCAGCCTGCACGTTGCACCCACTCATTATCATAGGATTATCCTTTATATGCTGGGTGCGTGCTGCTTCGAATGGCTGCGTGCCTTGCAGTATTGACCTGCAGTGATCTGACTGCCATGTGCATCAGCTGAATCCGTGTCTCGACAGCTATACTCATATTACTTGGTGGCCCTACGGCCCATTGACCGTGCAGTGGACAATCGGATCTGTCATGAGTACTCTCATCTGACGTCCTCACGGGTAGATGCTAATCACATTGTTGTTCCAAGCCAATTTTTATTTTCAGGATCATTGGTGACGCAATCAGGCTCTGATCACCGGGAGCAAAGATGCAGACGCTGCGGCCTCAGTTCCAGGCGACCAACATGGTCGCAAACCGCGCTTCACAGCACACAGCAATAGCCAGACTGAAGGCCGCAGCCCCCTTGTGCCGCGCACCACGCCGCCGGCCCGCCCGCTGCCTGGCCGCTGCTGAGGTGCGTGCATGCGTGCGCGGCTGCCATGGCGTGTGAGGCGTTTGATGTGTGCTGCTTTGATGTCATGCGCGGGTCAGATCTGCACCCGAGCTGCAGTGGACAACAGCAGCCAAATTCGGCCATCCCCTTGCGCTTCAGGAGCGGGCCCGCACCGACAGGGAGCGGCCGCACCCGGTCGCCCAACGGCTGGCCTCTGCGGCATGCGCAGCTGCGGCGGCGGCGGTGGCGCTGCTGGCCTCCCCTCAGCCGGCCGCGGCCGACCTGGTACAGGTGCGCGGGCGGGCGCCCCTTGCGCATGCCCTGTGTGCCATCCATGCAGCTGTCCCGCGGCACGTGCACTGGCTTTGCTGCCGAGCTCCACACGACCGGCGCCACCATCACACCATTAGCGCCATCTCCATGCAGCGACACCCGTGCCGCCACCCGTATCTCCATCCGCAGCCGCCC